AATAACACCTCTAACAACTTCAGGCCAATTTAGTTAACTTTAAATGAATAAAAAGGTTAAAAAAAATTTTTTTCAGTGATTGCTTAGCGGTAGTCTAGTGGAAAAGAATCCTGAGTAGAGTGCATTCTTAATATAGGCATAAAAACCAGAGGGGTTTTCTGATCTTGCTTTGCGAACTATTATTAGTGATGCAGATCAAAGCTTTTTTATTTTTTTTAATTAAATAATAAAAATGTAAGCATTTAGGGGGAACTTTAGCAAGAAGAGTTAGAAAAAAACCACTATCAATGCAACAGGTGCAATCAGATCCAAGCTGTTGAAATTGCAGAAAAACTGTCCACTAACTTTAATCCCACTTTATGTGTCTGGAAGCCATACTGTCTTCTCAAAATCCCTGCTTTTCTCTTATCTAACTTAAGCGGGCAATCTTCTTGAATTTCTAGCTGAAAATCTAGAAATGATAAATTTAGAGTAGAAACTAAATAAATATGATACAAACTAAACATAATAAAACAAAATATAAGAAAATGGAGCTCGTCTGCCTGGTTGTGTGTTTTCTTTGACGGGGCCGCCTTTTACAGCTGCTTTTTGTATCTCTGCTTCTTTTTCTATCTCTGCTTCTGTCTCCTTGAACCCCAGTGGGCCTCAGCAGATGGCCGCTCACACTGAGCCTGGTTCTGAGGCGGTTCTGAGGAGGTTTCTTCCTGTTAAAAGGGAGTTTTTCCTCTCCACTGTCGCTACAAGCATGTTCAGTGTGAAGGATTGCATTAGAGTCAATGATTTAAAGCAATCAACTGGTTTTCCTTAGATAGAAACCTTTGAATCAATTTGACTGGATGATCTGGTGAACTATAAAGTGCCTTCAGATGATGAGCTATAGAAATAAACTGAATTGAACATTCAGCGTTGCTGCTTGTTTTCTCCTGTTGTGGATTACGGATCACGTCGTAAGTTTGAGATTTTTAAAAGCCTTTCCACACTGATAGATGACTGTGTTTTAGTTTTTTTTAAAATATTTTATCAGGTGTTAAAAAAATCTTTAAGCCAAACTAAAGTCTCTATTTAAATTATAATATCTGTAGGTCAGGTAAATTTTTTTTATCTTCATTTTAGCTCAAACATCGAGCTCAGCTTTCTAGGAAACGTGGTTTGTTCATTTATAACCTGGTAATAACTTTTAAACAGAGAACCAGGTCGGCTACACACTCTTAACGTGTGAAATACTCAACTGAAAAAGTTTTCTGTATTTACTCACATTTTCAATGAAATTTTACACTTTTTTTTTTCCTGATAATATGAAGTGAAGTAAATTAGCTAAATTTGAAACTGCGAGGGACAAAAAAATGTTCACACCCCTGTAAGAACGCAGGAGAACCCAGTTCTACCAAAGACCCGGAGGATCAGCTTCAGCGCTGTGTGGATAACAGACTGGAGCAGATGACTGATAAAGTCTTTTCATATTGCTGCGTAGGTGGTTTCATTTTTCACATTGATGGTACAGGTGCAACTCTTTGAATCAGACCTTCATCAAAAACAATCATTTATTTCTGTAGTTCGGTTTAAAAGGTGAAACTAAAACATATTAACTATTCAGTGTGATTCAGTCTAAGCTTTTATTTCTGTTACTTCTGATGATTAATGCTCACACCTTTAAAAAAAAACCCAAACCAACTGCTGTGTCGCATCAAAAAGTGAAATTATATCAAATTAAATTAAAATGTTTTGTTAAAATGGAAAAAATATTACCAGCCAGAACTATCTTTTATGTTTTCAAACTAACTAAAAGCATTCTTTTTTGGGTTTTTGTCAGTTTATTCTCTGTTGCAAAATTATTTTTCAGCTTTATTAAATTCTTTTAAGAATGGTAAATTGTTTTCTTTGTTTCACATGAAATTATTTCAAAAATATAATATCCTCATCTTTTAAAATCCTTTGCTAATAACCAAAATAAAAAAAAATAAAGTAGCAGACTCGAAGCATCAGTAGAATAAGGGTTACTGATAAAAAACTATAAATCCCACTCTAAAACATTAATAAATAAAATTAACTAATAAAATAAAAGTAATTACATGTGAGTAAAAAACTGAACTAGATTTAAAGTGTTAAAAGTGTTATATTTAGTTCAGACCAGAGACCAATCAGATTTTGAGCTTAATCACACATTGTTTTCACATCATTTTGCAGCAGTTAATCAGATCAGTTTACATCAGAAGTAAAAGTCTGAGTTTTAAAGTGACAAAGAAACACAACAACAACAAAAAAAAAAAAATCACATGGGTAGAAAGGAGGATTTTAAATATATGAGACACTTTTCCAACGTGAATGTAGAGGGAGAGTTCTGCAGTACAGCAGAGGTTCCCACTTAGAAGAGTAAACTTTGTCCTTAAAATCAGGAGCTTATTGTATGTTTATGGGTTTTTTAGTGAATCATTTCATAAAATGAGTGGATCTGTCTCTATTCTACTACTAGGCCTTTAAATGTTAACATTCTCCTACCAACCTACCTCAGAAACCCATATTTTATCAAATCTGAAACACATGTGGTCACTTCAGTAAAGCCTCTTTCTCACTGAAAATACCGCTTAACGCCTGTTTTCAAACATGGGTCAACCCGCTAACAATTGGCGTTTGGCTCCCCTTCCCACTGGCAAAAAAAAAAGATTGGTCTAACACCCCCTCCCCCACAAAAAAACAAAACAAAAAAAAAAGCTGGGTAGGGGTGACATGGTTCCCTCAGGTCCTTAAAAAGTCTGAAAGGGCATTAAATTCTTCAAAATAAAACTAAGGCCTTAATTGGTATTAAAATTAGTCTTTCATACATCTTAATTTTTAAAACATCATAAATAGGATTATTTTTATTACGATTTATTTTTGTAATCTAAATAAAACGTTAACTTTTACTTTTTTTTTTTCATAAAAAAACTAATAAAGGCTCGCCATTATTGGTTGCGTCCCGATAGCGGAACCAATAAAAGCGTTGTTGCTGCCGGGACATTTGGGAGATGCGCCATTTACTTTTTGTCTGGAAAATATGAGCAAGTGTAAATGTAACCAAAATTGTCTCCAGCCAAGAGTTTTCTCCATGGATAAAACCAGGGAACATACATGAGGCTCAGTGGATTTTCTGCAAGAAGTGATTCAAGCTCGGAACGATGGGAATTAAGGCAGTGGAGTCAAACAGCTGGTATTTCTCAGTTTAGTTCCACCCTTGTCTCTGCAACGCCTCCACTTATTACCAAATCAAACATAGAAAACCATACAAAGAAAAATAGCTGCAAAAAAGACTTAGCACTGGTTATGTTGGAGCTTTAAAACTGATTTGTTTTGTTCCCTGCTAAAACAAAGTTTGTGAATTCAGTTAAATAATTGTTCAAATATATCTGTCATTTGTGTGTTTTTAGCTTTCTTCCTGTATGGGAAGCTTTTCATAATTTGAAACATTAGTGCAGTGGTTTATGTTAGAATAAACCTTTGGGTTAAGTTGTCGCAAGCAGGTTTTTCTTGTGTTTCTTGTGAATTTGGTCTTAAATTTTTATTTCAAGTGGCATTAAAAAGTCTTAAATTTAACTTGCCTTATGCTGTAGGAACCCTGTTTTTAGTGAATCATTTCATAAAATGAGTGGATCTGAATCTACTCTACTAAGCAGGTTGGTAGGAGAATGCTAACATTCTCCTACCAACCCACCTCAGAAACCCATATTTTATCAAATCTGAAACACATGTGGTCTCTTCAGGTTTACCCCCAAACCCTCAGTAAAGCCTCTTTCTCACTGAAAATACTGCTTAACGCCTTAACTGGCAAAAAAAAAGATTGGTCTGATAGTTAGCCCGGCGGGCAAATGCAATGAAATTTTTACTCTCCCAACAATAAAAACTGCTGCCCGTGTCCTCACTAAGACTAAGAAAGTAGAGCACATCACCCCAGTTCTAAAGTCCTTCCACTGGCTCCCTGTATCTCAGAGAATAGACTTTAAAATACTTGTGTTAGTCTATAAATCTCTGAATGGCTTAGCACCTAAATACATCACAGACTTGCTATCAGTGTATCAACCCTCCAGACCACTCAGGTCTTCTGGCTCCAGCCTGCTCTGCATACCTAGAACCAGAACTAAACATGGAGAAGCAACATTTAGTTCCTATGCTCCACTTATCTGGAACAAACTTCCAGAAAACTGTAAAAGTGCAGAAAGCCTGAGTTCCTTTAAATCAAGACTAAAAACACATTTGTTTAGGATTGCCTTCCACTGTTCTAGTTAAACAGTTCAACTAAAACATATTTAGTCCAACTGTTTTTAATATTCTGCATTTTTTATTTTATTTCATTTATTTTTTCCTACTTGCTTTTATCTTCCTGTATTTTAATCATGTAAAGCACTTTGCATTGTCTTTGTACTGAATTGTGCTATACAAATAAATTTGCCTTGCCTTGCCTTGCCTTGCCTTTCCCAGGGAGATCGGGCGATGGTTAACATCAAGCCCTGACAGCTGATTTTCATTGATTGCTGATTAACAGGCTTTTGCTGAACTGCAACCAGCTGTGCTAAAGCAGGTCATTATGACATCACATTAAAGAGAAAAAAACAACATGGCGATCTGAACACCTTGTGGTCAGTCACTGTTTGTTCAGCCTGTTTTAGTGATTGATCTCTGAGTCCATGACGGATTGAGCTTCGTTGTTTATCCTTCCTCTTGATGCTAACAGCTGATGCCATGCAGATGAAGAAATTTGATCGCGTCTGTTATCTCATTCACCTACAACTTCAAAGTTCACTTTTAAATGACTAAAAACCCAGCAAGTTTACAGCTGCCCATAAACCTGGAAAATGTAAACATTTCTAAGAGCTGACTTCCATGTTTTAGCCTCAAACATTTAAAATTTTTTATTTATTTGATCAATTCCTTTCAAGCGTCTCTCGCCGAGATGTAAACTCTGACCTGATTCTGTTTTATTGATGGCAGTAAAAATCCATTCATTCATTTTCACCTTGCCCCCCCCTCAGGAAATAACACCTGTTTCTACGGAAAGTGCTACTACTGCCGCGAGACGGAGCCGGCGTGTGCGGAGGGTGAGGTCATGGAGGGCTCTGTGACCCTCTGGCTGCCTGACGTTTGGCCCCTGCAGAAACACAGACACCCGTGGGGGCGCACGTACAGAGAGGGGAAGCTGGCCAGGTGAGTGTTGCTGTTGGGAAATGTTCTGTGACGCCAACGTGTTTGGTTTGATGATTATGAAGAAAATGCATTGAATGCAATGGGCCGTGGATATCATCTCCTCTGGTGGAGGACGTTAGACACAGATCTGTAGTCAGCAACTAATTCCCTTTTGTAAACGCAAACTTCCCCTAATTCCCCAAGACTCCTCTGAGGCTCACTTTGACTTTCCTCTGGGTAGATGGAGTGGAAACTCGTGGTTAACATGATTTCGAGTTGCTTATGTTTAGTTTGGTATAAGATAAGGAATATGCTGCATTCTAGCAGAAAAAAATGGAGCATTAACCACAGTGCTGAAGAAAAGTGATCTGTTCTGGGTCTTATTCCTCAGATGCTTTCATCAGACTGATCCATCCTAATTACTGGCAAAAATCAAATTTAACATTACATTACATTACAGGTGCAGTAGGTAACTTTTGGTAAGTTATGAGCTAAAATTACCTCTGTTATCTGACAGATAATCAAGCACTTCCTCCCACTGGTCTTTCTGCATTTAGCAGAAATTCATCTCTTTCAGTCAGAAACAACCAGTTCGAGCCAGAAGGAGTGTCAGCCTCACTCGCATATGTGCTGCTTATACCCCTCCCTCACACAGCATGTGCCAACGTTCAAACTGAAGAACTATCTGCTGATTACGTTCACACCGCAAGCAGCAGATGCAGCTAGTTTACATGCAAAGTTGATGGTCGACTTGCATCTTGGTGCACCAAAAGTTCCTGCAGTGCGTTTTAAGCAGCAGGAGCAGCGCAACACGGTTCAGAAGCAGCAGCTGCTTGAGTTGAAAAAATTTAACTTCTGCTAAAAGCGCCACATCAACCAATCAGAGAAGCTGATCTGGGAGCTGGCAGGGAGTCAGACACAGCCCTGCTGATGCAGAGCGCTTTGATCACTCCTCTGAAACAGTTTATTAATGCCTAAATTAACTGAAATGTAGAAACCTGCCAGCAAAATATGTTTGCTTTATTATCCTGGTGCCTGCAGTTAGGATCACGTTCATGAAAAATGCCTTCCAGCCGCCCACACAGTAGCGGGAAAACCACGAAGAGGCAATTGGGCCAGAGGCTGCCGTTGAATGGGATTCCCAGTGACAGCGCACCGCTGGTATGTGGGGGTCTGAGCGGCTCCGACAGAGAAATAATATTTGAAGGCAGGATTGTATTCTTGATGAACTGACTGCACAGATTAAATTTCCAGCTGGACTTTCTCAATTAAAAACATATTAAAACTACTTTTTACCCACTGATCACAGTAAATATAGCTGCCATTGTTCCAGGCAAAGAAAAGATGGCTCCGCCCATCGCACATCAAACCCAATTTTCGACCACACAGCTAGAGCAGCAAAGATGCTTCAGCCGCGTGTCAGGACTAAACTTGTACAGGCATCAAAAATGAAGCAGCACGTGTGTTTTTGCTGCTCCTGCTGCATGCAGTCTGAGCACAAAGCTATTTATTGCATCGTAGCCCAGCTTACTAGCCTGCATGCTCACAGCAGGCTCCACAGTGGTGGAGGGGCTGTGGAGCGAGGGATAAAGAAAGCAAGGGGAAGGGGCCTGTAAGGAGAACTTTTTTCACATTTTTAGGCCAAGTCCAGCATTAAGAGGCTGTCCAGGCCTGATTACTGCCTAAACTATTGTCCATAGCTCACTTCTGTCCACACGAATGTTACAAAGTCCTTAAAGTTTGTCAGTCTGGAACCTCAAAAAGCAGCGTCCAGCTCCTTTGGTTAAACATGTTCAGATCTGAATTTTCTTCAAGCTTTGAAAAACAAATATCCAGTGTTATTGCTTGTTGTTCATATAAACCATTGACTGATATTCCTAGCATGATTAGCAGCGATTTTCCACAGATCCTTGCTCTTTATCTCACACATCAATCTCTGTTCTGCTTATTCTCTCCCAGCTAAACACAACAGATCCTATCCAGCTGAAAATACCCAAACTGCTAATATTCTGATGGACTTGCAACTCTTGTTGAAATGAGAAGGAATATATAAATCAATATCAGCTTCTACCTGGGATGCCTAAAGGAAAGGAAAATCAGCTGAAACAATCAGTTTGTGTATATTTACATTGTTTTTATAGAAACAACCTCAAATAGGAAAAAAATAATAACCCTGAAAAACAGAAGAATTAATGATATAGTAGTAAAGTAATATAGTAAGGATCATTTTCTCTAGCTGATCACTGGTGCTGTTGCACAGTTAGATAAGAGTAAACAAGCAAGACTTTTTGCTACCTGTGGTTTTAAGCATCCGCTGCTCACTGATAGATATGGATGGTTTATATGCTTACAGAAGGGAAGGCTGAGCTGTACAGAAAAAAACAGATATTAATACCAGACTGTTGGTTGAGACCGAAATAAAATTAATAAATCATGAATATGAAAAACGACGGCTACAATTAACGATTGTTTTGCTCATCATTTCAACTGTTGATTGATTTTTCCAATTAATCGATTAATAAAGATAATAAAAGGTGCCTTAAAACAATTTTAAACAGACTATAAACCAAATGAATCTAAAGTTATGCTTCTGGAGGAGTTCTGAATATTCAGACAAAAAGGTTTTTAGTCTTAAAGGAAATATGTTTTATGTATTTTCTTTCAAATAATTGGTGTAATTATTGCTCTAAGTGGGTTATCCCTTTAGCTAATGGTATTTATTATTCTTTTACTCCAGTGAATGATTGATCACTAAAATAGTTGATTATTTCAATAATGATTAAAGGTATAGTGGAGTTTTTGAAAAGACCCGCCTTCTCCGCTTTAAATGACAAATGCAAATGCTTAACCCTGTAACTCATGCGTGAGCGTCCATCTCTCCTAAATCCCTCCATCACCATATAGAGGGGGGGGACTATATAGTGGACTTAATGGTGAACTCGGTTAACTGACCGTTTGGACAGATGATCACTACTTTTTGCTCCCAGTTGGTCACGTAACTCCTCCTCCACCTCGCAGTGACTGCGTCATCTTTGATATTAGTCGACAACGGGCCGCTGTGACAGCAAATTCCATAATGCTTTGCGAGGAGAGCTCTCCATGCAAAGCATTATGGGATATATCTGCCTCTTCTTTTTTTAAGCACAGTTTATTTTATTGAGTGTACACATGTGTAATACAGATTCTGGAATAGGTACTATAATTATTACCATCAGTCAGGTAATGGATATAACCCAGAGTAAAAATACAGTAGAATAAGAAGTTGTATAAAAATAATATTAAATAAATTAAGATAGAGAAAAAAAGAAAAGGGGGGGGGGGGTTAAAGTTTAATGTATATCAAAAACTAATCAATTGAGCAGATATCTGCCTCTTCTGAGGCCTTTCTTTTCTTCTAATACGCTTTTTCTCTTCCAACCCCTCGGCCATTTTCACGGTGATCTTCAGTGACTTTCTGAAACCGGAGCTCACCACAGATATGTGGCTGAAAGGTCACAGAAAAAAGATGGCTAATGGGACGAGCACGAAGGACGGCCTTACATAAACATATCACCAGAATGACTGACAGTTAGGAGAACCACTGATTTAGATGATCCACCCAGAAAAAGAACATCCTCCACTATACCTTTAATGTGATACATTTTCACAGCCCTAATATTAACAGTCTTCATACCCAATGTTTATAGTTTTGGTTGTTTTTTATTCATATTTTTTACACATTAAACATTAAGCTGTTTTTATTGGTTATTTGAAGCCTGTAGAGGATCCAAAGACCCCATTAAGTGGCTTATTGTATATAAGCAGTTTAAATGTGAATATATTAACTTAAAGTTGAGAACAGTTTAGATGACAAGAGTCAAATATAAGGATGTAGTTCCTTTTTCTTCCCACTTAGCTTGAAGTTGAAAACCAGAGACCGACATTACTGGTTTGCATTTGGTTTAAGCTTAAAGGAATAGTACACCCAAAACATGATTAGCCTTCATTTTCTACTCACCCCCTTGCTGAACAACACTCTGGAGTACTTTTTTGATATCTCAAATGCATCTGGAGATCTGGGAGGCTTCTTGCTGTCTGCTGACATTCAAATAATGGAGGTCTATGGCGCCCGAGGCAGAAAGGTCCATAAAAGTCCACAAAAAACGTGTCAATATTCCTCCATACTGCTCGTCCAATGTATTCCAAGTGTCCTGAGTGGGTAGCGTCCAGAATTTACTCGAAACGAAGTCATTTAGAATGTTTTTAGAGCATAAACAGTAGTGTATAGGATTTCCTGAAAGCACGTTCACGAGTCTACGGAAGCCGGCAGACCAAACCAGATAAAAGTGCGCATTCAGCTCAGCAAAGAACTCATGCTCTTCCTCAACACTGAAGTCCTCAGACATTTTTCTTTCGCTGTTTCTTTCTTTGCACAGGTAAACAGCACATTTCTTCTTCTACGCTTGCATTATCGGCAGAGCAGACGCTGAATGCGCACTTTCATCTGGTTTGGTCTGCCGCGGTTTCCGTAGAGTCGTGAGCGCGCTTTCAGGAAATCCTATACACTACTGTTTATGCTCTAAAAACATTCTAAATGACTTCGTTTCGAGTAAATTCTGGACGCTACCCACTCAGGACACTTGGAATACATTGGACGAGCAGTATGGAGGAATATTGACACGTTTTTTATGGACTTTTATGGACCTTTCTGCCTCGGGCACCATAGACCTCCATTATTTGAATGTCAGCAGACAGCAAGAAGCCTCCCAGATCTCCAGATGCATTTGAGATATCAAAAAAGTACTCCAGAGTGTTGTTCAGCATGGGGGTGAGTAGAAAATTAAGGCTAATCATTTAGATGACAAGAGTCTAATCTATGGAGTAGTTCCTTTTCCTTCACACTTAGCTTGAAGTTGAAAACCAGAGACCGACATTACTGGTTTGCATTTGAGTTTAAGCCATGAACACAGCCTAGTATGGCTCCTTCCATTTCTACTCACAAGTAGGAGTTTACAACCTCCTCAGTTGGAAATGTTAACTGG